ACAAGGGGGCCCCCTCTGGGAACATGTTTGCCTTCTCTCTTGGGCGGGGGGGGGGGGGGAATAGTAGCTTGAGTGCATGGTGGAAGGGCACCAGCTTCAGGAAGGCTGGTCTGTATTTGGAGGCAGCCCTGTAAAAACTGCATTAATTGATGCTCCCAGCAGATGGTGACAAAACCCCATAATTGGACTGCTGGAATGGAAGAAAGCTTGGTTGGAAAGAGACACTTTTACTACACCATCAAATTTCAGCTTTTGTCTTATTCAGAGAATAAAATTAAAAACTCAGATATGTGTAAAATCTCTCACAGTCACAGGCAGCACAAGCAGGATCCCCTTCTGCAGCCCTCTGAACTTGGATTACAGGCATCCTACTAAGGACGGAAGCACGGAGGTGAAAGCCACCTCTGCACTTTTCTCGCTCTGCAAAATACTGACGTGTGCAATGCTGACTAGCTGTGCGTTACTCCTGCTCATGAGGCGAGGGGCTAAGGCACCACCGGGATGCGTCCTACCCAGTAAAGCCTCACTCCTACCCTCCTCGCCCTCTGAAATGTCTTCCCAGTGCCAGCCTCAAATCACATTTGTGACCTGGGAGCAGGAGCCAACACAGAAAGGGCCATGCCAGTTGTGCGGGTGAGGGGAGAACATTCTGAATATATCATCTGTAAACAATCAGAGGTCAGAGCTGGCACTCCAAATTTTCTTATGGCCCCCTGGTCACAACCTAGTGGTCACTGGATTGCACCCTTCGTTATTTTTAAAGGGTCACGTACTGATATTCCAGCTTTGTGGAAACATGTATATTGTGCATTTGGGAACAGACAGTATGGAATTTTTTCCCAACAAAATCCAGCATTTTAAAAACTTTTAAATGCTTGGGGAATGCTTTGTGAGCCGCCCCGAGGCTCTTTGTGAGCCGCCCCGAGGCTTCAGTGAATGGGGCGGCATAGAAATTTGCTAAATAAATAAATAAATAAATTTTATACTCCATCTTTTCTTCCTAGGAGCTTATCCTGATATATATGGTTCCCATTCCATTTCCTCCTCAGAACAGCCTCTGGAAATGAGCTCACCTCCTCCTTGCGTGCTGATCCTCTAATTGGGCCACCCTCTTCTGCAGATGTCGTGTCAGGAGGTCGAGAGCCTTACCTGCCCTGTCTGTCTCGGCAAACTTCTCTGTTCCAAGCTCCCTCCCACCAGCGGTACTTCTCGGTCATTCTCAGAGGCCGCTCGCACACCTGGGGAGCCTGGCCTTGAGACCAGCATCTCCGCTTCTCTCATCTCAGGGGCTGGAACTGGCCCACATTCCAGCCCTCCTCCTGCTCCTCCTCGTCCACCGGGTCCAAATGACCAGGCCTTGGGAATGTGTGCCAAGAGCAACTGCTCCTCTTACTCGGAACAGTGGAGATTTGAACCCAGCACAATCCTAACCCTCTAACTCCACACACACTGTGAGAAAAGTGCAGAGGTGGCTTTCACCTCCATGCTCCTTCCATCCTCAGTAGGATGCCTGTAATCCAAGTACACTGTTTTATGTGTGAGGAACAAATATGAACTATTGCATTGTTCTCCAGTCTGTTTCATTAACTTGCACGCATTATTAACCCACAAGTAAGTCCCACTGAGTTTGTTCAATGAGGATTGCTTCCAATAAAATGATTATTTTAATTAAAATGAAATCAGTGCAAAGATGCATACTATAAAAGACAAGGGATATGGCAGAACATTGTCCCCATGCTTATTATTCCAATACATGACAAATTGCCACTGATGTTTTATAAACGTGGTTACTGCTTAATTTTCTAAACAAGCTTTGCTATAGTAGCCATCTTCCTACATCACACTGTACTCTGATTTTATTAGATACATGCAAGCAGAAAGGAGGATTTTTTCAAAAGGCTAGGAGGACTTTGGCAGCATTTATTTTCACTCTTTTGGAGTCTCAGCTTGTCCTGCCATCAGGACCATTTAGCTCAAATAATAATACTGATTGCATGCAGTAAGTATTGCAATTCAATAGAATGGCAATCTGCCAGTCTGGTAGTATTTGCCAATGTTAGGATATGATCCTAAATATATATATATATATACACACACACACACACACACACACATACTTGGGAGTAAGTCTCACTGAGCTTAGTGTGGCTAATTACTAAGTAAACACCGGATGAGGCCAAACTACTAATCTTTCATGCACAGCTCTGTGTAATTGCCTCAAGTTTTAAATGGAGTATCAGTTTGCATATTGTTACTTCAGCTCAACTAAGTTGTAAATTGGCCAGATCTTGTCTTTGGTCCCCCAGTGATGAGCGCCATTTGGCTTCAATTATCCTAAACTGAGTCTTGTTTACCCTAGTACCCTGCTTGACATCTAAGTTGTACCACTTGGAACTGAGCTTTAGCTGAAAAAGCAGTAAGTAAGAGTAGATGGAAATGCAAAAAGATGGGATTCTCCCAGAGATCGTGGTAATCATTATTTTTAAAGGGTGCCAGTGATCATGTTGGAGCATAGAAATAATAGGATGTTTGTCTGGGCCAGCCTTACCATGGGCAGAAAAAGGCAGTTGCCTCAAACAGTGGATACTGGGTGCTAGCTAGCAGAGTCAGGGCCTGGCTGTTCCTCAGGAATTAAACTTGTTGCAGGTTGTTTTCCCCAGCCTATTCTAGTCTTGCTAAACTAGCCTGCTGCCTCAGCCTGCTGGTAGGGGGCGCTATCCTACCACAAGTGTGGAAGTACATTTTAACTACTAGGCCACTATGTGGGATACAGAAGGGAGGTTAACATGGCCTTCAGCTCAAGGCGCAACACATCTTGCACCAGCCTGCCTTTGTTTTGTATCTGGGTTCAGGCAGGTGTGAGTTAATGGACAAATGGACCTCTCAGCCAATCCTAAATTCTGATCCCTAGAAGGGATGCTTGCATTGAAAGCTCCACTGGTAGCCAGATGAACATGGTGGGAGAGGGAGGCAGATTCCAGACACCAGGTGACAATTTCTCCCATGTGCCTTGGAGAATCAAATTATTGCAGAGAAATAGTAGATGCATGCTTTGGATTGAATATGATGACTAGCATGGTAAGAGCACTACAGCAGCCCACATTCTGATCTGCCTATGATGGTGCACAGGGGTAGATAACTGTTTAGATGTGGACCCGCAAGACTTGGGTTATTTGTTATTTCTCACGGTTAGCTGCCTCTTTAGACTGCTGTAAGGTTTATGGCTAACTGGGGTTCAAGACCCTACTTTACCTCAAAGCTCACTGAAACCTTTAAACCAATTACAATCAGTTTAACCTACTGTACAGGATTGTTATGAAGATAAATGTGGCAGGAGAACTATCCCACCCCACCCCACCCCACCCCAAGTTGTTCTCCTAGGAGGAAGGGCGAGATAAAAATGTAATAAATACTGTAAGTCAGACAGGAAAAGAGGTAAACCAGCTTGCTGTAGCTGGAAAACTGAAATCTATTTAACATTGTTTTGTGACAATTTAAATTATAGAAAGAATCCTGGCTAGATATACCTCCTGCCCAAATCAATGGCCCTCAATGGATACACCATTTCCAAGCTATTTCCCTATACTGAGTTACCCATTTGCTCCTTTGTTAGCTAAGTAATTCTAAATTTTGGGTTTCTGTAGGAAATGCATTTCCATCTTACCCATTTACACTCCTAAAGATATATACTTGCACCTTGAGAATGGAGGTCTGAGATTGTTTAGAAAGTATGGGGGAAATGGTACAATACACTACACTAAGTATAAAGTAGTCCCAGTAGTCCCTGCCCCTTTTAAAGCCACTTTGGGGATTTGCATTTGAAGTAAAGTGTGTGGGAAAAGTGAGAGCCTTTTCTGCCCAGAGAACATTAGAAAATATAATTCCCTGCCAGTTATTTTCCCCTGAGACTTCTCGCTTCCATCTGCTTTTAATTTCCCCTCATCCTAGTGTTGCTACCCCATCTTTACTTCCTAAACTCACGTTTGGTATCTTTAAGAGAATGCCATGTTCCATAAAACTGAAGCGTGAAGGGCTCTTGTACTCAGAGGTTCCTGTGCAATTTAAAGCCCTGCATAATTGGGATTCTAAATTGCACATGGGGCATCCATAGGTACAGATTTGCAGCCTCTGTAGTTATGCTCAGTGGTGACCACGGGAGGAGCTGTACAATTTTGGGGCTAGACTACCTGTATGGCCCTTCTGCCCTTTCTACAGTGATTTCCCTACTCTTGCGAGTAGTACACAAATAGGGCTACCATTGCTTGGCTTTCTGTAAAGCTAACAGAAGAGTTACACCTACTGCAGTATCCTTGAACTACTTTAATCAGACTGAAAGTTTCATTTCTGAATCATATAGGCCTGCTGATGCACAGTTTGCAAGTTTTTACCAAATGCTAAAGCCTGACTTCAAAGGAGACTAAGTAGGTCCTCAAGTACTGTATTTTCATTCATTCATTCGTTCATTCTTTCCACTACACAGGGTGTGTGAGACACTCCATGTGTGCTGGCTGAGCTTTTAGTACATTTATCATTTTACAGAGAAGAGTGAGCACTTGAGGGAAAGCAGAGAAATGCCAGGTTTGTGTGACTGTTGAGTAGATGATGAGGATAATAGCAGTGTGTTACAAGAGCTGCCTCCTTGATTTTAGTTTACTACTTCTATTTTTGTTCTACAGATGAAAGGAATACAAAGTTCAGATCCTGACTTAAATGTGAATGCATTACAGAGAGCTGTCTTTTTCCTGAGTGAACCGCCTGCATATGGAATCTATAAATAGTAAGGTTATTTGCTTAATAATGGCTGGAGATGTAAAGAAGGACCCCACCCATAGATCTGTACCATATTAAAGTGAGACAAAGGCCTATATATAACCAACTGATCTGTGTTATTCAAGCTTAATACTGTATTTGTTTTCAAAGAGCGCATCTGAATCACATAACTCACACACACACACACACACACACACAAACCATGCAATAAGACATATCCTGCCATGTACCTTTTATGAGGGGTTTATTCCGCTACTTTGCTGAGGCTGCTTCCTGTTTTCGTTGCAGGAAGAAAAATGCATCCTTTGCATGGGAGATCCCACCCCCCTTTGTATTCTCAGCTTCTGTATAAATTTTGTACCGACCACAAGGTTCTGCAATGATATTAAGACAGGATAGCAGATTAATAACTTCTCATGAGGCTTTGTTCCACTATGTTGCAGTTTAAAATTTAATACTAAGACTTCCTTTGCTCTAAAGAAAAAGCTGATAGAAAGGCTGGGATAAAAAAGGGAGAGGCTCTGAAGACCAACAATGTTGTGAAGTGGGCCTTGCAAGTTTCTGTGAGGGATCATGAAAGCATGATAAAGGCCTCCTGTAGAGAAGCCCTTAGGTATAACTCTACAAAATCAACTCAGCTCTGTGATATGCAGCAGCTAACTCACTGTCAGGGACTCCCTGGTTTCCTGTTTGTCTAAGCAGTAATTTGGGATATTCCCAGGACCATCACTGACCATGCTGGGGCTCTTCAACCTTTCTGGACTTGTGAGCAGATTTGGAAATTTGAGAAATTGCTGTGGTCATCACAGCAACATAACTAACCAGTGGACTGTCACATGTGGATCTTGGATTATGACTTACTCAGCAAAACAATTTCATGTCTATTGAATGCTACAACTTCCTTTAAGAAGGGATCGACTAATTCAGCTAATTGCTGGTGGTATAACACAGCCAATGCTTCTTTTAAGCATCTGTTTTGGCAACATCCACCAGTTGCTGCTTTTTGGGAGGAGGTTACTACAGATCGATTTTTCTAGTGGAACAGCCTTTAGTATTCACTGAAGTACATGCTGATTTTAATTATTTATCTACTTCATGGAAATTAACAAATGGTCAACATAAATGGATTCTCTGCACCCTTTCAAGAGCTAAAAGCCTCATACTGCAGCATTCGAAGGATCAGCACTCACTTCCAATAATGTACTGGACTGAGGACCTTATAATACTTTCAGTATTAGAATGAATGGGTGGCATACTGGCACCAATTTCAAATGGATGCTTATTTAAATATTTGGTGTACTTTCTGTTGAAACCTACATATAATTCCTAGAAAGTCACAGAAATCCACTTATGCTAAAAAATGGGAAGTGTGTAAAAAGAGTGCCTTCAGGCATCCTACTAGGACTCCTTAACAGGTCTCACTGGGCTAAACCATCAACATAATTTCTAAATTGCTCTGCTACAGACTACTGTAGGTTCTGGTATTATTGTCCACCCTCACTCTTTAAGCCATGAAACCCCACCCAAGAGCATGTAAGCCGCCCAGAGGTGCTGTGACACAACTGGGCAGCATACAAATGTTTTAAATAAGCAAGTAAATAATAAATATGTAATCAAAAGCAAGTCACATGAAGTTGAGTGGCACTTACTCCCAAGTTACTTGTTGCAGTGTGCCTATTCTGCCCATGAACTCAGTAGAAGAGTCCTAGGAGCTCTATTTCTTCCTTTTTCTCAGTTGCTGTGTGGGCAGGATTTACTTTAGGAGCCCCATGTACTCCTGGTTAAATGTATTCCCCCAGCTACCAGGTCCCACCCTCTGATCCCAAAGGTCACACACAGAGGTCTTTAATGTGTGCGTGTCGGGGAGGGGGGTCACCTTACCTTTGTCCCCATCTGCCACATTTCAAGATCATACTACATTCTGAGGAAGAGAAACTGCATTTCATTTTGGAGTCTCGGCTCCAGTCCAATGTGCAGATCTCTGACTGGGAGTGGGCAGAAGATATGCTGGGATCTACTGGGGTAGATCTCTGGGTGAACCTCAAGGATTTTCTGAATCGCAATAGTTTAAAAACACAGTGGCTCCGCACCACCCACCCCATTATACTGCTGAAACCAAGAAAGCTTTGGAGTAAATCAGGAGTGGATTTCGTGCGGAAAGAGCTCCGGGAGCTCCGTTCAGTTCTGGCACTCCAAGCCGGTGCGGTATGTCTCGCGATTCTCCTCCAGAACAAAGGCAGTCGGACACAGGACCGCTTCCCCACGGCCCGGTTCTCTGACGAGCTGGACGGTCACACTGCCGCCTAGGACCGTAAATTGACAGCACCTAGTCCCACCTGCGTTCTCCCGCTCCGCTCCAAAGAGCGCGGGATCCCCGCCGGCCCAGGGTCGGATTGCAGCCTCACAGGCGACGCAACACGCAGGGACTGCTCCCGATGACGGCGCTTTCGAGAAGAGGAAGCCGCTCACTCCCCAGCGTGCCCGGGTCTCCCACCTGCCTTCCTCGCCTGACTGGCGCTCCGCCCCGCCCCCGGGCTCGGCTCCGCCCCGCGCTACTCTTCCAGGTAGAGCGGCGGCGAGCGAAGGCGGGCTCGCCTGGACTCTTCCTCTCGAGTAGATGCGGCGCGCTGGACGCGCGGCTACTAAGGGCGGCGGCGGCGGCGGCGCTGCTGCTGGTGCTCCTGCTCCGGCGTGCGCGGCTGGGAGCTGGTCTCGATCTTCCCGCGCTGGCTGACTTCGGAACTCGCTCCTTTCTGGCTCGGTTCCTCTTCTCCTTTGACAGCTCGACCCGGTCGCCGCTCCTGGGGTCGTTCTCCCCCTGCCCGCGCCCTCCTCTTCCCCTGGCGGCTACGCGCGACTGCCCGGGTTGCGAGCGGTAGAGGTGGGGCAGCCGCGCGGTTGGTGGATCGGAAATCGCCGAGGAAGAAGGAGCGAGGGCGGGCGAGGCTCTGCAGCCGGCAACTCCGCGTGCGCCCCCAACCGCGGCCGCCCGAGGGGAGCCAAACTTTGACGCGAGCCTGTAAGTGTTGCGTTTCGCCCGGATTCTTTTCTTTCTTTCTTTCTTTCCCCAAAGAAGTGTCGCGAGTAGGTGTGAACTCTCTCGGCCCTCCCTCTCCTCTTTTCTTCCCGCGTTTCCTTCCTTTTCTCTCTCTCTCCCTCCCTCCCTCTTTATCTCGCGCGCGCCCCCCCCCCCCACCCGGTATCTGGAGGGCGAGGGGTCCTGTGTGGCTCCTCGTGTTGCCGGACTGCCCGGGCTCTCGGTCTGGTTCCTCAGCCATAGTGGAGTAAGTTCACGCTATTACTGAAAAAGTTTTAAACTCCCAGTATTTCGACATACGCTTTTCTCTGCCTTTTCTCTTCCTTGTTACTCTAGTATTCACCCCCACGCACACCCGCACACACTCATACAATTATCCCAGTGACTAATTTATGGATTTTACCTCTTGGTTTTTAATTTCTGTGAGGCTGTAATCCTTTTCAGAGAAAAATATATAATGAGAGAAGTAAGATGTATTTACTCAGAAAGGGAAGTCTTCGTGTCTCCCCGTGGGGCCTTCCTCCAACTGAGTGTGCACTCACTTGTAGCCTGGGCTGCACTCCAACTCGCCAATGTTCAGATTCTGCCAGTGGCGTTTTAACATGATGAAATGTCCGGGGGAGGCTCTGCTGAGATAATACCTACGTTCAGATACATTTTCTGATGTACACACACAGAGAGAGAGAGAGAGAGAAGCAGTGACTCTTACAGGCTGCAGCATTAGCTCCCCCCCCCCCTTCCTGCCAACTTGCTTTTTGTTAACATCTTCCTGATGAATGGATCTGGAGAACTCAAAGGCTTGCAGATTTTTGGTGATCTTTGAGTTAGCAGTGCATGCATTTGGGAATATCTCTCGGAAATCTCAAGCAAAATTGTACTTACAAATTAAGGTGGCCCGTGTTGCCATGGATAACCTCATTGAATCAGGAAACAGAAGTGGCAGCTCTAAAGACTATCAATTTGAATATGGCATAACTTTCATGGGCTCTGGCCTGTGAAAGCTTATACCATAATGGAACATGTTAGCCTTGTGCTGTGGAGATTGTTATAAATTAGGTAAAGAAAAAGAAACTCCTTGAAGTAGCCCTACACTTTAAGAAGACAGGTAGTGACCAGGCAACCATGTTATGGAAGGGGAAGGGGTAAAGTTTCCTATGGCTACGGCATTGGTACTTTGTTTGAATTGCACAAGCTGCTTTTATATAAAGGTTCTGGTACTTCCCAATGTTATTTAAGATGCAAGCCTGATCATCCTGTCTCCCAAAAGGCAGAAGTAATGTTAGGGAGAAGAGTATAGAAAAATCATAGCAAGGGGTGAAGGAGCCTGATTCAAAAGAAAAGATTAAACAGTAGGGACTTTTAGATCGGAGAGGCAAGAATGACATCAGCAGGATATGTTTGAATAGAAACTTACCAAATCATGAATGGTGCAGAGGGTGTGAATGGAGAATGATCTTTCTTTTTAAATAGTAGAACACATACTCATCTATTGAAATTTATCCATGATTTAGGAAGGCATGCAGAAGGAAGAACTGCTTAGAACAGCACATACTGAACTTAAGAGTTTTTGTTGTGCCATGAACTGGGGATAGCAGTGGCTTCTTTTGTTGCAGCAATGAAACCTCCCAGAGGCTGAGTATGTCTGATAGCCAGATACTGGAGGTAAACAAACAGAGAATGCTTTTCTTCTTTATGTTGTTCTTGTGGATTTCCCTAGCATATTTGACTGGCTGAGTGCTGGGTTCTCAAGTTCTGGCTTGATTTGGGGGTTGAGCTTAATTCAAGCAGTGCATTATGCCTGCCACATAATACACATAATGTATAATAGGGTGAGTGATAAGAGTTGCAGGTATAGAATTGCTCTAATAAGGGGGAATGGTCTCCTGATGCGATAGGATTTTAACAGGCAGACAAAATGAGAGAATTGTAGTATAGAAACAGAGCGAGTCAGAAGGGGTCTCCCGGGCCATCTAGTCTGACCTCCGGCACCAGCCGGCTCCACTCACGACATGCCCACCATGTGCACGTCCAGCCTATCCTTGATAGAAACTAGTATCTCTATCAATAAAGGACTGTACTGGTTCAATTATAGGGCCAGGCTACACACAAACTGAGAAGGAAGGAATCCTCAGATAATTTCTAATCTAGTTGAAATTCCTTATTGGAGAACTCTCCAATGAGATTGTTAGAAAAAAAATAAAAAGTGCTGATAAGCTAACAGAGCTATACTTGGATCCCGGTCAGCTCAAAGTCTGGCAAGTGAGCAGAGACAAGGAAAATAGTAAAACTTGGTTTGTACTTTGTTAGTCATTCATACTATGCCAGTCAGCAACCATTTTTATGGAGTTTGTTGTTCTTTAGACACAATTTACTAACTTGATTCCTTCAGGCTCGCTTCAGAGTACTTTATGATACTCGGTGGCTTTTGTTACTTGGCATGCATTTGATAAAACGCCACGCCACTTAACATTCCATCATGCCTTCATAATGTTGAGAAACCTTGACACCAGAATGAGGCCACTCCTGGCTCAAATCCAGTTATATAGTCTCCTTTCCCCTCCTCTTTCCAGAAACAAATGTTTTGGGCAGTTACATAAACATGTGAGGACATCTCTGTGAAAAAATCCCTTTTGCTTCCAAAAGTAGGGAGGGGGGTTATTGTGCTAACTCCCATAGTGGTGAGGAGTAAGTGGCCAACGTTTGACTGGATTCTTGATGTGCCCATTTCTTCCTCAAAATGGATTGCTGGCAAAACATTTTACCTGTTTGAACAATTGACCCAGTGAGTTCCATTAAGCTCCAGTCCTAGCAACTGGAGGAAGGATATTCCCCCCTTTGATATTAATGCCATTAAATAGCAGTAATATAACTAACTGCTGAAGTCCAGGTAATAGGAATTGTTGTGCCAGTGGAGCAGGGGTCAGCAAGGGAGACTCAGGCTGCTCTTCGGGTGTTGCCCTCTAACATATGCCAGGTGTGGAGATAAGCTAGGACTGCACCTACTGGCTGGGCTCCCCGTGGTCATGCAGCTGTGCATGAGGAGGTCATATTTGCATCCACTTTGTGTGCATGGCTCCTCCCTGCCACTGGGAACCTGAATTGCCTCAGAGCTTCCTGTCATGTCCAGACTTGTCCCATACTGATCACATGTTCCATTCTGACCTCTTATCTACCGGGACAGCATTAGGGACCCACTGCATCCCATGGGGTTTATCCCAGGTGAATAGGCATAGGATTACAGTTGAAGTTGATACGAATGGCCTTGGAATAGCTGCCCTTGACAGAGGCAGCACTGTAACAGACCGTGTGACTGGAGAATGATCCTTCTTTTCTGGGAAACTGACCATCTAGATCCATTTCAGTTAGGTTTCAGGCCTAGGTTTGGCAGCGAAACTACTTTGGTGGCCCTGTGAGCTGACCTTTGCCAGGAGGACAGGGACAATGCATCCCTGCTTGTTCTCCTGAACCTCTCAGCGACTTTCAATATTGTCAACCATGGCATCCTTCTGGATAGGCTGGCTGAGTTTGGAGTTGGAGGCACCAAGCTCCAGTGGTTTGGCTCCTGCTTGGCCAGCCATTTCCAGAAGGTGGTGCTCAGGGCCAAGATGGAGCAGGCCCGGGCCCTAGGGCCAGGTGGTCGATAAAGGTCTTTACTCTTTTCCCCCATGCTACTGTGTGCCATGGCTTTTCTGCTGTGGGGTACCACAGGGGTCCATATTTTCCCCCATGCTCTTTAACATCTACACAAAACCACTGGGTGAGGTCATCTGGGGGTTTGGGGTGAAGCTCTACCTCTTGTTGTCACCTAATTCAGGTGTGGCAGTGACAGTTCTGAATCAGTGTCTCGGTGGAGTCATGGACTGGATGAAGGCTAATAAATTGAAACTAAATCCAGACAAGATGGAGGTACTACTGGTAGCTGGGTCCTCAGTCTGTATAAAGGATAGTTGCCCTGTCCTTGACAGGGTTGCACTCTGAAGAACAGCTTATGGAGTTTGAGGATGCTCATAGCTTTCCCTGGAATATCATGTGGACTCAGTGGCTAGAACTGATTTCCATCAACTCCGATTAATCCATCAGGTGTGTCCCTATCTAGACAAGCAGGAGTTAGCAACATTGAACTATGCACTGGTAACCTTCATTTGGACTTCTGTAATGTACTATACGTGGAGCTTCCCTTGAAGTCCAGAAGCTTCAGCTTGTCCAGAATGGAGCTGCCCACCTTTTGGCAGGAATTTCCAAGTGGGAACACATAACACCAATACTTTATCAGCTCCACTGGCTTCAGATTGCAATCAGGTCCCACTTTAAAGTGCTTATGCTAGTATATAAAGACCTAAACGGCTTAGGGCGTGGATATTTTAAGAAACACTTCCTCCCATATGAGCTTGCCCAGCTTTAAAGTCCACTACAGAGGTCCTTCTCCTGGAACCGCCCTTTCCAACAAATGGCCTTTCCCACTGTGGCGCTCCAGTTATGGAACCAGCTTTGCAGAGACGGGCACCTGTCACAATGTGTTACACTTTTTGGCACCAGGCCAAAACCTTTTTATTTTATTTATATTTTAACTATCAATTTTAATTGCTATTATTTTATTACATTTTTATTTTTGTGCCATATGGATACTGTGGAATAATTACAAATTGTTAATTGTAAATTTTAACTATTAAAATTACATTTATTGATTTTCATTGATTTTCTTATTGCTTTTAATTATTGCCATTTGTTTGTTTCATTTATACTATTTTTACTATTGATTATGGTAAGGACACCATTAAAGGCTTGTACACGCTGTGACGTAGGAGTGTGTATATGATGTGGGCAGGCAAGGGTGGAAGGGCATTCATGGGTGGATTTTACTTTTATAGATTCTGTTTTATTGTTATACATCGTTGTGATTAGTTGCTGCACTACTGTATGTATTTTAAATTCTGTCCTGTTATATTGTTTGTTTTGCTCTAAGCATTCTGAGAGCTTTGTTA